GACAGGGTCTGTAGGGGACTGATGTATGAGTTGGACAGGGTCTGTAGGCGACTGCTGTGTCAGTATGGTATGAGTTGGACAGGGTCTGTAGGGGACTGCTGTGTGAGTTGGACAGGGTCTGTAGGGGACTGATGTATGAGTTGGACAGGGTCTGTAGGCGACTGCTGTGTCAGTATGGTATGAGTTGGACAGGGTCTGTAGTGGACTGCTGTATAAGTATAGTATGAGTTGGACAGGGTCTGTAGGGGTCTACCGTGTGAGTATGATAGGAGTTGGACATGGCCTGTAGGGGTCTACCGTGTGAGTATGATAGGAGTTGGACATGGCCTGTAGGGGTCTACCGTGTGAGTATGATAGGAGTTGGATAGGGTCTGTAGGGGTCTACTGTGTGAGTATGATAGGAGTTGGACATGGCTGTAGAGATTACAGTATGAGGAGGAAGTGCATGGTTCCTGTAGGGTGTTACTGTGTGAGAAGTGTTAAAAAAAGACCTGTAGGGTTACTGAGGGTAGTTGTACAGCACTATGGGGGATTACTGTTGGGGAGTTGGACATGGCTTAACTGTGACTTTGAAGGGCTGGTGATTCTGCATTAGTTGAAAAGCTATTTTAGGTAAACTATTAGCAGTATAGTCCATCTTTTAGTCTTTAAATAGATAATTATTTTGTTCTCAATACACCTCGCTGTGATGGCAGCTTTTAACCACATCTATGTTACTAGTTCGTTACTAGTTTGTTTATTTGAAAGTAAGCACAAAGCTACACAATGGGCTATCTGTGCTTTGCCTACCATGGGTATCGAAACCTGGTTTCTAGCATTGTAAGTTCGCAGACATAATGCTGTGTCACTGGGGGCTCATTACTAGTGGCCCAGAAGAGCTAATAATTGTGATGTACAACACTAAATAAAAATAATATCATTAACCTCATGGTGAAACCTGATCACTTAATAAAAAATAAATTTTATTAAGTTCACATTAACTTGTAAACATCACACTGAATTCTGGAACTACCATCACACATCAAATCATCTAAATGGAATGCAACCAGTTGCAAGTTCGTTCCACAAATAGTTCAATTAGCCAATCACGTACTGAGGTGAATAACATACTGAAAAACTTGCATAATTCATACATTGATCAAGAAAGATTGTGTGCCTCAGAGCATTAAGAGTGTAGAAGACTTTCGCAAGGAAGATCTGAAGACTTTAAGCAGACATGAAACAACAGATGATGAACCTTGTGATGAAGATGAAGGCCCAATCATAGACATCTGTCAACTTCTAACATTTAAACCAAACTTCTATTACTGTTACTAGGCACCTACTCACAACATCATTGTTTTAACAGATATTTGTTTTAAAATAAGATCAAACTGAACACCTTAAACTAACAAACTCCACGTTCATCTTGTTGTAAATAACTATTTTCAACAAATTTTTATACGGAAGGTGAAAGTAAACTAAAATATAAAAGAACTGCTCAGATTCTGCCTGTAAAGTGACTGTACTAATGGCATTTGAAACAAAGGAATATGGATAAAGTTGGGTGACTAGAATCACCCAGAAAGGGACCTGCAATAATTTGTACCCCAACTAAAATAAGCAAAGTGCAGCATCTTGTAATAGGTGAGAACCTACAATACAAAGGTCAGTGGCAAAAGTAATTTACGTGTCCCAGCCAACAATATGCAACATAATAAAGGATCTCCATATGGAAAGGAGGCCAAATAAGATATAGGTTCACTGTGATAAGGCTTCCAGTCATGCCTCCAATTCAACCATTGCATACTGCAAAGGATTTGAAGAATGAAATGCTATTCTACATGATGGCATGCCAGTCTAATCACTAGATGGAGCACCTATGGGTTGCTGTGTGACTGGACTATAGCAATAGGTGCTGGAAAACCATTGCTCTCATACACTAGATAAATCATAGAAACCAACAGGGAGGAGGGGTGTGCTTTGAACATGACAGCCTTACAGCAGAGCATTTTACAATGAAAAGCATGCTACAGGGTTCTTGTCAAGGTGGACAATCATACATTTAAAGCATGATCAAAAGTGGTTATATTTTGATGGAATAATGTTTTAGTGTTTTAAATTTCATACATGTTTCAAAACTGGTATCAATGTTAATAAGCATTTTCTGTGTGTGATCCTATGTTGGAATGAAGGCTTAAATGGGAATCTTATGTGTGTTTATTTTTCTTTTTAACTATTTAAAGACTGAAAGAGCATCTGAAACAGTCCAGTGTTCCTGTTCACGGGGTTTTAGCCCTTCTACCTCACCAGACACGTCCTCGTTCAAGCCTGGGCTGGGAGCTGCACCGGTACAAGTAAGTTTCTGCTCTTCTTTCTCCTGCATGAGTTTTCATGAAATACCAAACACTTAGTTCAGACCTGTTACCTAGTGAATTATTTCTATTTAGCATATACTAATGTTAACAATTTAATCGGCTTGTGTTTTAAATTACTTACAACAGATGGTATCACACATAGCAATTTCAATATGGTCAATAACGAGTGTTTCTTAAATCAGCTTAACTCATTTACTACTGCACAGCTTCAGACGTTTATGATTTGTCTTTTTTTCTATTATTTTTTATAACAGTTAACAGGTATTTTTTCTAAATCCTCATGTAGGTGTTCTGGATGTAGTTAGAACATCCTGTAAACTGTATATAGGACAAAGGTTACATACCACAATAATTATTCCATAGAGCGTATACTTGCTTGGTTCTGTTCTTGTATTATGCATCCTGGATTGAGGTCATGCATATTTCAAGAGATGGTACGAACACTTATACAAGTTAGTATGAGTTGTAAGTTTCTCCCTTGAATATGTTTAATGAGAATGATCATCATTGACTTGCAGGTTAGGAAAACATCTATGCCAGATGAATATAATAGCAATAATAATGAATATATTGCACTTTCAAGTCACACCAAGGTCCTAGTGTAAAGTCCCAATTATTTTTTTTAGAATTCACCCAAAAGCTAAAACTGTCAAAAAGCTACAACTCACATCTTGTGAATACTTTTAACTATCCAGCGGATACGTAAACATACTTAGAGAAATGTCCTCTAAAACTTTTAATGATAGAATACCTTTTTATTTTTGTAGAATATACCCATGCATACCCCAGATACACATCCCCCCCATTTAGTGGATATAATTGTACATGAATATTACAAACATTCTTGTGTTATATGTTGAACAGGTTAACTATTTTTTGTATTATGAAATTATGTTAATAAAGTACAAATCAATATTGTTACATCCTCTTTTCATAAATTAAGATAAAGGTAATATTGCCTGGGTTGTGTTGAGGTTCCCGTGTCTTTTAACTCGAAAAATGAAACAATCATTTACTGATGTCAAAAAGTGAAACTTTTGTTATTTTAAATAAATAATAAATGTAGATAAACCCAACAAATAATGAAGCTAATCACTAGTGAATTATCACTAAAAATGTAAAATCAACTATAAAACAATAACAATTTGTCAATGAAAAATCTAAAACATCAAATGTTTATTAAGAAAAGTTTATATGACTTTCTCAAAAATATAAGATCATATATTCCTGTTATTATTATTACAAAATGAAATGATTTGGATGATTGTTTCTTGATAGAGCCGCTAGTGATTTTAATCTGTGGACATATGAAACTGTTAGAAATGCTGTCTTGGAACTGTTGAGAGAGATGGCTCAAGTAAATCTAGCCAAAATCTGTCCATTGCCTCAGGTAAATATTCCTAGTTAGCTATTAATCACCACAGTGGATATCCCTAGTTAACTACTGACCACCACAGGTAGATATCCCTAGTTAACTACTGACCACCACAGGTAGATATCCCTAGTTAGCTACTGACTACCTCAGGTGGATATTCCTAGTTAGCTACTGACCACCACAGGTAGATATCCTTAGTTAGCTACTGACTACCTCAGGTAAATATTCCAAGTTAACTACAGACCACCACAGGTAGATATCTCAAGTTAGCTACTGACCACCTTAGGTAAATATTCCTAGTTAGCTACTGACCACCACAGGTAGATATCTCTAATTTGGTAACGTCCACCTGAAATGGATATTCCTAGGAAGGTACTGACTACCTCAGGTAAATATTCCTAGTTAGATACTGACAGAATCTATATAGCCTTATATCCAACAGATATCTGCATATTTCATGAGATATCTGTATTTATAAACATATTAATTCACTCTTCTGAATGCTTGTACAGTAATACCCCGTTTAGTGCTCAGGAAGGGTTCCTGAGAACAGAACACTAAACGAATCAGCTCTAAACAAGGTCATTTTAACATTACATATATGGAGATTTGTAACTGAAGGCATTGTTTCCTACCTGTGTGAATAATGTATTAGTGATTTATTTAGATACTGGTAGATTTAAAATAAATTACTCACTATAATATCGTCGTCAATCTTGTTCGGTTACAGTGCCATCAAATAGAAAATCAGACCCCTCCTGCCACGCTCACCTGGCATATCCTCTCCTTCAGGATTTGTCAATACATGTAGTTCTCTCTTACGTTTGCGACTATATTAGTTATAACCAATAGACAGGCAAGGTTTTCGGCTATCAAATAACGTATTATATTTCTTTGGACAGAAAGTTGTAGATCACTTCCTAAGAAATGTTTTTTTTTTCCCACAAGAACGATATTGTGTAAATGAATGATATTTTATTGGTTCATATTGTGACCTTTTTTTTGATGAGACAGAAAAAAAAAATGAAAATCTATAACTCTCTGAACACTAATGGTAGTAGTGCACAAAATAATTTGTATTTAATAAAATAATGCAACAAAAAACAGAATAATAACTTACAAAAAGTAGACAATGTCCCATAACTCTCACAGTTTTTCTGACATTTCTAATGATCTTGTCTCCTTGAAAGACCTTTAAGCTGATTCATTATAGAGCTTAAGCTGATTCATTATAGAGCTCTTGTTGTTATACTACACTCTACTTGATAAAACATGTTATACTACATACACTACTTGATAAAACATGTTATACCACACTCTACTTGATAAAACATGTTATACCATACTATACTTGATAAAACATGTTATACTACATACACTCTACTTGATAAAACATGTTATACTACATACACTACTTGATAAAACATGTTATACTACATACGCTACATGATAAAACATGTTATACCACACTATACTTGATAAAACATGTTATACTACATACACTATACTTGATAAAACATGTTATACTACATACACTCTACTTGATAAAACATGTTATACCACATACACTCTACTTGATAAAACATGTTATACCACACTATACTAGAAATGATTTAATAAAAAATAAGGTTTTCTCTTCTAATTTAACTAATCTCGTAAAGAATATATTAAAATAACACACAAAGTGATAAATAACTTAAATATGTTTTCTAGTTGATGAGATATAACATTGTATTCAAGTATAGCAAGACCCAACTTAGCACCACCCCACTTTAAGCTGATTCATTATAGAGCTTTGTCTCCTTGAGAGACCTGTTTTATCAAGTAGAGTGTGGTATAACATGTTTTATCAAGTAGTGTATGTAGTATAACATGTTTTATCAAGTAGTGTATGTAGTATAACATGTTTTATCAAGTAGAGTGTACGTAGTATAACATGGTTTATCAAGT